GAACGCCCCGCCCACCGGGGTGGGTCTCCTAATTCGATGTGAATTCGATGTTGTTTTGTCACTGAAATCGAAATCTTGGTCTTCGGTACAGTTCATTTCGACGCACGCCACGCCCACTGTGGGCGGGGCTCCGCTTAGCTGATGTGTGTTTTGTACTTCGTGAGACCTTGCCCACCCATCCCACACTTGACCCGGTCCCTCCAGGCGGATCCCGAGGAGCTAGGGAATTTCGTGACAGACATACAGAACGACAGACAGACGACAGACGAAGCGCTTTATAGTAAGTAGGATAAGGATAAAGGATAAAGCATTTGCCGTTGATCAATCCCTTTTTGGGATGCGGCACGCATTCTACTTCCATTTGTACATTCGTAGTGGCGTTTGAATGCGATGTGGCCTATACAATGACTTGCGGGGGCCAGCCGATGTACAAGTCAGTGTTTTTATCCTCCCAGACAAGTCTGGTACCAATTAACCGACCCCGGAGGGATGGAAGGCTTGGTTGGCCCGGGCGACTCACGACCCAGGATTTGATCCCCGGACCGCTCGCGTGGTAAGCGTGCCACTTGCCACTACACCACTTCCGCCCTAATAATATAATAATATAATAATAATAATAATAATAATAATAATAATAATAATAATAATAATAATAATAATAATAATAATAATAATAATAATAATAATAATAATAATAATAATAATAATAATAATAATAATAATAATAATAATAATAAATATAACATTAATTACTTTGATTTGTTCACAGGAGTCAGAAGATTGAAAAGTAGTAATAATGAATGAATAATTCACATTTTATCTGGAATCACCTTTCTCTCTTCGCCAATCGTTTGCACCATTATGGACATGTACGGCGCGTGTGGGACGGGGCGTGCTGCCAGGGTCAACCGTCCGTTGGACAAAGTCCAACGCGACGACGAGAGTAATGCCGAGAGTGAACGTACGCACGGAGACACAGACGGCTCGCGGGTGGCGAGAGTGAATGCCGGCGCGGAGAGCGGTCAACATCGGTCCAACGTCGCTCCAATATCGGTCCAACGTAATGGTTGACCCTGCGTGCTGTATCCTGGGGCCATGGCGCCTCGACCTTGTTAGATCATCCCCAGAGTTGTGCACATGCTTTCTGCGTAACGCTGCACTTTTCCCGAAGTGAAGCTTAATTTGGACAGGAAGTACCGGACCCTCCCTCCAAAAAGGTCACAAATCTCGGTTCTTGTTGTGGTAATCTCAACTAATGCAAGAGAAATTGTCGTAGGAACTCATTTCTCCCTACGCCTTCAGGAGCACTTCATACCCTCGTTACACTATCTCACCACTATTAAAAACATGGGGTGGGATTCTGGCCGCAACTATCGAAGGGAAAACTATCGCAGAAAGGGCGAAGAGACGCTCATCATGAAAAATATTGATTGCCTGCACAGTCTGCCAGCAAACAGCATCGAGAGCAAACAAAACAGAAATCAGTTTTCGAACTCGGCTCGATCCAAATAAAATACAGGCTTTCGTGTCTTTGACGCATGGGAGCGAGCCCATTTTGGGCACAACTCTTAGCAAAGTCTTTTTAGGTAAATGGGTTACAGAGATAGGTGCAAGGTGGCTCTGTTGGACACGATGGTCTTGATCTTATCCCAAATGGGTAATAGTCTTACTCACCCCCGACGTCCTGCATTTACTAAAGCATGTCGGCGCTCATAATCCTAGGGGGACATTCAAAACAGGGCAAGGCTAGGCCTCACTAGGAGTAAGCCAGGAAAAGGGGAGAAATGCCAGAGAGAACAACATTGCGCAAGTCCTCCTCCACAATCCCTTGCCCCCATGAAGGCTTAGACCTAAGCACAGTTCGTGGCTCACTTCCTTAAATGTCCCTCTCAACGACATCATTTCCGGCAAAACCTCAAAAAAGTGAGATTTCTGGGGTGGCTAAGCAATATTATTTTGCTTGAAAATAGCACTCTAAAACGGTGTACCCACCGGACTCACACAAAAACTGAAGCTGGCGCAATCTAGCAAAGGCTCCTGCAATTCCACTAACTACAAAGGAATTTTATTTTTCATGAAAATGGATCTCAATAGAGAAAGATTCGTTTCTTATGGGCCCTAGCTGAGATTCGCATTACTATCACATTCCAAAGCAATACGACAGTATGGGCAAGTCTTTCAATTACTACCATCAAGTCTTTCCATTTGATTGGGTGTTAAACTCACTGCCGGTTGGAGTCATCTGGTTCTCCCGCTAAATCGAGAACACAGAAAGAATAGCATTGGGTTGTGTAGAAGGTCCTACCACTTCGAACAAACTCTTAGAGAAATATCGGAACCCTTTTTAACTGCTATGGTGTTTGTTTACTGTAGTGTGTTCTCGGAGGTTTTATTGAAAGGGTGCTAAGGTAAGGGCCTAAGGTTACTGCTAAGTTTTGACCTTTCAACGCTCCTCTAAATTGAGCCATCTTCGGCCTTTTGGGATATAAGAGGTCTATGCAAGGCCACGTTCGAGTCGTTGCGTTGCAGCTATGTAGTATCTGTCCTGAATCAGGAGGGAGATAATTAGTGAAACATTCCCAGCACAAGTCATGACGAAGAATCTATAATATTCAGTGGGTGGGATAGAGTAGCCACGAGTGGCACAGATGTGCCGTTGTCGCGGCTCGAAAGGTGCGCGACAATGGCGCTAGGGTCTTACAAAGTCAGCCCGGCGGCTAGTCTTAATATTTGGACGAGTTACGTCGCGCCACCATATGACACGCAACCTCGATTACGGCGTTGTACAATTCGTCTGGCCCCGCCCCTTCCTTATTTCAAGGAGAATCTTTGCTAGAGCTCCATCGATAGTTTCCTTGCTTTTTTTTCATTTTTGGTCAACTCGGCATCCAAAACTTCAACATCGACCGCTGTGATGGGAGTGTTGCTTTGACCGGGCCATATTCCATTGGTCCTAGGGCTTCGCAAATAGAGATTCGTAGCGGAAAAGCACAGGATTTACGCCTCTCTCACAAAACTCTAGGGTACCCGACAAGAAGCCGGACGGACGCGCCTCCTGTCGAGTACCCAGAATCCCAGGTCCACGCCTGATGGTGGTGGACCGGGGTTCCCGCAGCGAAATACTTTCGCGCCAGGGTGAATATCGGTCGAGGAATTCCTCGACGGGGGGTCGTATTTGCCTCTGTGGAAGGCGGAGGGGGGTCGTAATTGTCGGACTCAGTATCGGACGATTTGTAAGATACAGGATTAGGGGAAGTGGGCGGGGGGGGGCGTCTTACCACCTCTCTCGTTAAACCTCAATGCGTAAGGGAATGTAATAGGATTCATTAGTAGCAGGTCCCATCGCCATGCTCTTCAGCCCTCCTCGTGGTTATGTACCTGATCATCTCAAAAGGCATGAAGTAAAACGGCGGGAAAGAAAGACGACATTTTGTTGAAACACACCACATTTTGTTGAAAGATAAAAGGTCCCCTGTTAATCTAGGTGTTAAAAGTTTCTGGGGAGAATATTGAGGCTTCAGTGTTCTCTCGATCATGTTTTGTATCTCGAACTGTATCGGCATCTCCTCTACCACTCAGTCCATAAACCGTCATTGAGTGCGTGACATAAAGATTTACAAGTTTCTGTTTATCGCCATAAATTGCAAGTGTAAGCAACTGAGGCTGGACCGTGATTGGAAGAATTCCCACGTTTAGTCACTGCAGAGAACACTTCCGTTTTTATTAGCAAGTCTTCATGCGCTTACAACCTTTCAATTGACTTAAACTTACGAGCGAAGACCGACGGCATGGCGTATACTGGACTGAAGCTAAACGGCGCCGAGCGTATCTAGTTGTACCAGCGACGGTAAAGCGATGCGTTCCTGACGCATTTTGAGAGGTTTCAGTGAATTTGTCTTGCAATGATGTGGCATGAATCTGGTTTTTGAGTGAAGAAAAAACTCCTCGTCATTTTCTCGACGCAGATTTCTCCTTAAGTGGGAAGTTTTCTGAACAAGTCAGGCGACCATTCGAAAGAGCAATTCTTCTACTTTCTTATGGTGTCCATACATTTCCGAACAATCGAGAATTAAAAAAGTTATCGTCTTGAAAACAGCTAAAATACGCATGACAAATTTGAGTTCCTCGACGTTTACTCGACGTGGAAAATCTCACTGAATAGAGAGTCTTCAGGGCAAGTTCAAAAATAATAAAAAACTGCAGTCGAAGCTCTTTCAAAACTTACCCGCCGTTTTCTAAAACATCAAGTTTTGAAAAAGTTATTAAGGTTCGAAGCATAAGGGGAGGAGGCAAATTTTCGAGATAAATCGCTCCAGCGCGTGAGCCGCGCCGCAGCCGCGTGAGGGAACAGCTGCTCCTTCAAATTCGGTGACTCTATCACTGTTACGTCCTATTTATCATTTTTTCTCATTGCTGTCAATCTTTCTTTCCGGTGTGTATTCGTGTAGAGTCGGTTCTCGTACAATAGTAGAGTTCTTTTTTCCAGGATCTTTGTGTAAATCGGTGTTTTAGCGCCGTAGTCGCCGCAAAGAGGTGAATTCTCCGTTCCTATTCATCATTTTCTCCCTCGCTGTCAATTTTTGTTTCCTTAACGTGTGTGTACCTGTAAAGCCGGTGCTCATACAATAGGAAACTTTTTTCAGGATTCTTTTCTTGCCGTAGTTCCTTTTCTTACAGCAGTTATTGTACTTCAGCACTGTTTTGTTGGCATTTGATGTGTGCGGGAAGTAGTGTTGTATCGAGACTCCGCTTTGCGGAAGGGGTCGTACCAAGACCCCCCAGTTTAGGGGGAGGGTCGTATCACAGATGGGTTTTCCTCGACACGATTTTCACCCTGTTTCGCGCTGCGAAAGCGGCGAAATCGTTTACTGTGCTAGCGTTCCACAACCCGAGAGCGGCAAAAACATGTAAAGAGAGCACATTACTCACGACTGACCTAACAGGAGACTTACAACGTTTCATCAGATCACCTGAAAACCCTTAAATTACCAACTGACCATTTCTCGAATTTTGTTCCTTAGAGGCTCGTCTCGTATAAGTGTGAACATGTATTTCGCGAAATCTTCTGCTGTTTGCTCAGCTAAAAATCCCGTTTGACCGTGCACTATAGACTCAGTCGGTCCTGAAAATTGAACCATTAACTTGTACAATGACTGGACTCTGTTCTATCGCGAAAAGTCATCGAAAACAACTATTGAATACGCGACAAAGTGCATTGGGAAAAATGATGACAATTCTTCTCTATACACTGTTCCACTGCAGAAACACCACTCGTTCCGAAGGAATTGTCACCATTTCTTCATTTTTTTTTCTCCATGAATTCATGAGAAAGCGGTCATACCTTCATGATATTACTTCGGAATACTGGAAAGTTATACCAACAACTCAACTCTTCATGAAAAAGTCAAGAACGCTCGAAACAACCAACCTCCCGAATTCACAGCTATCACCGGCGTCCCGACATACATTGCTTCAATAGGAACGATACCAAAGTGTTCATTGTGAGGAGTGTAGAGAACAGCTCGACTGCATTGCAGCAGCGATATTTTTTCCTCATCAGCTTAACAACCTCTGATTGTTTGTGCTAGGTTCACCACAGAAATGAGAAACAAATTACGGCTTATTGTTAGCTACACGTGATCAAGCCGGGCCATAGATGCACTTATTGCATGGGGATAGAAATACGATCAAGCAAACCTGGTCCAGATCTTCCCTGAGTAACGCGATTGGCATCGGACTTATTTGTGAGGAAAGAACACTGACTTGATTATCGCGTGACCTTGGTAAGAGATTAGGCAAGCAAAATTGTAACCTAATGCCACCTAACTTTAGACTGCAACACAAATGCACGGCACATACTGAGTCTTGTTGAATTCATTCAACTTCACTCACATTCAATCATTCATCTGCACTCGCACACTTTATATGCTTGTAATAGTCATCAAGCTAATCAAAAACTATAACCTGACATGAATGTGTCGGTTGTGACAACTAGAGACAGCATATGTAGGGAGTTTCAAACCCGAATATTCGGTTTCAAACTCAGGAAAACCGCCTTCTATGGACAGTTGAAGGGCGGCTACGTATCAGGCGGCGCAATGAAAGAATCCGGTTAAAGCGTTCGATTTTGGAGAATAGAGACAAAACAATCGATAGAATATGATGCAGTAGAAGTGTGAGATGTCAGTGCAATAAGTCAAAAGGTCACAGTGACAGCACTCCGTGAACCAAGTGGAAGCGTTCCCGCCGCCAGCATTTGTGACAGATGTCCGGGAATTTGAAAGCGTAGCAGTCCTTCCAATTTTTCGAACTATGTACCGAAATAAATACAATCTTTTGTTCTTTTCGTTCTTATCGTGGGTCACAATCCAGTATTTATGGATGAGATAATCATAAATTTTCCAGAAAAGATTCCTTCAAGCCAGGGAGGCGGTGGTATAGCGGCAAGCAGCGCCGCTTACTACGCTCAGGTTCAGATATCGGACCCCGAATCGGATCCCGTTTGATATGACCAAACTTTGACCCCTCTGTAACCACATTGATGTCTACTTATATGGGTTTCGCTTCAATTATATGGTCTACACATATGATGTGTCTTTGGTACCTGCCAATTGATCTGCCAATTATATTGATAGGGTTAGGGTTACTGTGTTAAAGAAAGCTGTAAGTGTTCAAAGAAGGTCACGATTTTCAACAGGTGCTTCGGCATATGAAGCGTCTTAATCCCAACTCCTTACAACAGCAACCATATTACTTCATAAGTCAGCTGCACGCAGCGAAGGGTGATGAACAACAGCGATGAAAATCCTCAAAATGCGCGAATTTTAAATAATTTAATTTTTTAATCATGATTTTCTTCATACGCATCAGATCGTAAACGTTGATATAGCACTGTAACCTAGAAGATTCATGCTAGTCAGTGGTCGCTGAAATGACCTGATACGTTTAGTATCAAATCAAAAATGCCCCCATCGAAGACTTTTGTCTGAGTGCTGCTAAGACCGATGTCAGACTTTGCGAATCCGTCTCAGGGCAGCAGTCAACCGGAAGGCTCGGTGATTCAGCGTTTTGTAGTGTTCTCTGAGCACTCTCGCATATGCACACTATTACAGCATCTCTGCTTTCTTTCCTTCCTTCGAAAGGCTTAGTCATCGAGAAGCCCAAGGTATGTGCTTTTCTGTCTGGACTCTCACGCGTTGGTTGACCGCTTGCGAATCAAACGATTCGCCAGCGCCCAAAGTCGCGTTGCGGTTCAAACCAATTGAGCGATTCACTGGCCGCGAAGCTAGCGAATCGCTAAGTCTCACATGGGTTTCAGAGAGTTTCCTAGCTACACTGCCACTCCTGCAACGACCATAGCTACTTTCATGGACAATTTTTACAAATATGAAAACAGTTCGAAAATATGAAAAATTTCTGTATACAATAAGTGCAGAAATGAACTGCAAGGTTTCAGCTCAAATGGTACGTATCAATAAAGTTAAGGCTGAAGAGTTTACTTCATTCTGTGTAGCGGATTCCTTCCGGTCACATTGAAGAGCTCCTTCCGGGAACCTCTTGTTGTCTCTCAAACTGATATCTCCGAGGGAACGGGAATTGACGCGTGGCACTGGTCGAACTCGCTCAAGGTAATGCGCCATGCGTCGCATCCAGCGATTGGCGCAAGTCGCGATTCCCATGTTCTCCCGAACAGACTACTGACTTAAGACCCCCTCCTTCTCACGTCGTCGAGGAATCCTACACCACCCATGATGCCGCACTGGAGTATTATGTTACGCGTTAGGGACGAATAAAGGTATTAATAGCGCAAAATCAAGGCACTGAAGGGACAACGAGTTCAGAGGTGATTCCTGGATTGGCAAGATATCCTGTTCCAACAAATGCTCGAATGAGCAGTCATTGCGGAATGAGCGTAGAATAAATTCAGAGGTAAGCAAAAGCGGTACGAGAAAAACCTCCAAAATCCCCTTCGTCGGCCGCCCTCTTCAGCTACACACCCAAGTTTTTTGCAAGATTATTTCACCGAAATGGGCTGGACCATTCTACTATGATATATTCAGTGAGTAGCTCCGACACTGCTCCATTGGACAATCGCCTCACCAAGCTCTGATCAAAAGAGAAAAAAAGTGAACGACTTCATCCTCCACCCGAAAAGAATCTCTCCAAACTTACATCCTCAGTCTCACTCATTACAAGACAAAAGCATCCAAAGAGCAAATGGATGCATACAACTAATCATGGAGTAAAACAAGGATGGAACATTCGACATTGATCAACTCCGCTTCAAGCGCACTCTAATTTTATTCAAAATTTCCAGTGGCACTTTGAACACGATCTGGCCTGTACAATGACTTGAGGGTCGGCCGATATCCAGTCCATATCCGAGAGTTGGTGTAGGTGTGTGACTGAAAAAGGCGTGGCTGCTGCCGCACTCGACAGAAGTACATGGTGGGGCAAAATTACTGGTGCACTAAATTTTCAATGGCATTTTGACAATAATTCTCACAAATCAATTCTAATTATCAATATTATTTACTACAAACATGACAATACAAAAAATGTTAATGCTTCTCAAAATGATCTCCTTTAGCCTTCACACAGTCCTTCAGACGTTCGACAAATGCTTCGCATGTGGCACGCAGGTACTGGTCATCGATTTCGTCCCAAGATTTTGAAAGCGCCGCCTTAAGAGAGTCCAAGTTTGGATGTCTGGTAGAACACGCTTTGCTCTCCAAGATGGACCACACAGAGTAATCCATCGGGTTTAGATCAGGAGAACTGGAGGGCCATTCGTCGTGTCTGATGAAGTCGGGCAGGTGCTCGGCGCACCACTCCTGGACCATCTTTGCTTTGTGTGCTGGAGCAGAATCCTGCTGGAAGCACCAGTAGGCTTCTCCGAAATGGGAGTTGGCCCACGGCTTGAGAACTTCCTCCAGGATATTTTTGTAAACCTCTGCGTTGATTTTTACACCAGCTTCAACGAAAACAAGTGGGGTCTTCCCCGTAGAGGTGACTCCTCCCCAAACAAGAATGGACTGGGGGTGTTTCGCTCTTTCCTGGAGTCTTGCCTTGGTGGTAGCATCAGCAAGTGATCCTGCAATAATCCTCTCATTTTGGGAGTTGAAGGCTGGATTCAGAGTAAAAATCTTTTCATCACTGAAAACGATGTCTCGGGCGCGTGCCACCGTGAATCGCTGCAGCAACTTCTTGCATCTCTCCAATCTCCTTTTCTTCATAATGTCCGTCAGGAGTTGGCATTTCTGCAAGCGATAGGGGAACTTCCTTAGCTTACTTCTGACAATCCTCCTCATTGACCTCGCGCTTACTCCAACGTCTTTCGCCATCTGGCGCATCGATCTCCTGGCGTTCCTTCGAATTCTTTCTCTGACGAGCCTCACATTTCTCCGACTCGTAGCTGTTGTGGGACGTCCTCTTCCTTCCCTGTCCTCTTCGGTCTTCAGTTCTTTATAGCGTCGTACTGTATTCTGAACCGTCCTTCGAGGTACGGAAAGGATCTTCACAATTTCTCTTGTTTGCTTGCCGTCGTTGTGAAGTTTGATGATCGCGCTCCGTAGGTCAGAACGACGGACCATTTTGTATTCGAGTACGTAGGAATTACGCAACCTCCAGGCAACATATCACAAGCGAGTGAAACAGGAAAATCTCCAAGAAGTGTTAAAAAATTCAAAACGTATAGGTGCACCAGTAATTTTGCCCCATGTACTTGCGTGGGTAAACCGTTGCCACCATGCTTTGCTGATATCCTGCAATGTATGTTGGGAGCAGCCTATCCGCGACATCTATCAAGCGCGGCTGCTGTCAACGACACGATTATTCCAACTCTTAGATATGGACTGTACAATACAAGTCAGTGTTTTCATGCCTCAGACAAGCCTAATATATAATAGTTCTCGGAGGGATGAAGGACTTGATTGGCAAGGACGGTCCAGGAGGTGAACCCCGTACAGAGCACATGGTAACGGCGTCAATAGCAACTACGCCACTTTCGTCCACCGTGATGTACAGTTCATTTCTCGCCATCTGAGGCCGATGTCAGACTTTGCGAATCGAATGATTCGCTAGCGTTCGCGGTCGCGTTGCGGTACCAGCCAATCGAGCAATTCGCTGGCCGCGACGCGACCCGAACGATAGCGAATTCGCAAAGCCTGACATCGGCCTAATTTGGCGTGTCACGGGAAATACTGTGGCGGCCGCCGCACTTGAGAGAAGTCGCGTGGAATAGCTTTTTCCAGCATATTTTGTCGATGTCTAGCGGAAAGTCTGGGAACAGTTTACTGCGCGACTTCTATCACGTGCGGTTAGTTAATCAGTTAAAGCTAAGCACAAAGGATAAAGCATTTGCCGTTGATCAATCCCTTTTTGGGATGCGGCACGCATTCTACTTCCATTTGTACATTCGTAGTGGCGTTTGAATGCGATGTGGCCTATACAATGACTTGCGGGGGCCAGCCGATGTACAAGTCAGTGTTTTTATCCTCCCAGACAAGTCTGGTACCAATTAACCGACCCCGGAGGGATGGAAGGCTTGGTTGGCCCGGGCGACTCACGACCCAGGATTTGATCCCCGGACCGCTCGCGTGGTAAGCGCGCCACTTGCCACTACACCACTTCCGCCCTGGTTTAGCTTTATGAGTTTATCAGTTAGTTAAAAAAATTTATGGGAGGTCATTGACAGAACTCGGTACTAAGAATCCACTCTTGTGTGGTAGAACTCCTATTTCTCATGGCAGCGACCGATGAGACGAGAAACATGCCCCTAGATATTGCGCTGTTTCCAACCATAGTAACCAGATAGGAGAAATAGGAACTCGTAATTTTTCGGCGATCATGCTTTTTATATCCACAAAGTCGTGACTCAAGGAATTTAATAACAAAGATCCAAATGCAATCAAATGTGTACTCTGCTACAGAAAACTAGGTGAGCGTCGAGTGCAGATCACACAGCACAAGTGGCGACGGCGTCCACAAAGTAAATGTTTCTCTTAATGAAATAATTAGCCTGTTGTCGTTGTATTCTTTGTTGCCACCAGGGTCAAGCGAGGCGTCGAGGAAAATTTGGAAATACGACCCCCCCCCTCCCTCCGCCGGAGGCCGAAGTCCATGAAACGACCCTCTTCAAAAGCCGAACTATGAAAAGGTTGTTTAATTCTCCCCCAAAACTGTTCATAAAAAAGCCCTGCTACCCCACCGTCCACCAAAAAATTCGTTTAAGAAGTACAAAAGTGAAAAAGTCAAAGAATGATCATTATTGATGAGTCCTACCAAACGAGCAAACGAGAAACGGAGCAAAAAACGACAAACTAGTCACTAAAAATGGCATACTATGACAACATCTCTTCTTTATTTATTTCCTCCACAAGACTTACCAAATTCTAGTACTACAGTTCTCAATTTACACGTCCCCCTTTCGCTGAAAGGAAGCCTTGTAACCGCCTTCGCCAGCTGTGTGTTGACTGGACTTTGGCGTTGACCGTGGAGCAGCTTATTTACTATTGAAATTTGAACAAATATTCAAATGATTATAACTTTCTTCAAATATGACGAATTTTCAATCTGAAAGCAGATTTGGGAGTTTTGTGAAGAGCTTTTTCTAATCAGTACTGAAATTACAAAAAGTTATAAGAAATAACAAATTTAGATCAATTAACGAGGAAAATTCGAGATGAGCACGAGTTTTTACACTTTCCGAAGCAATAACTTGCTTCATTTCCGTCTCAAAAAGTTGATACGTCATACAAAACTAGAAGATTTTCTCTATCAAACGGTTGCTAAAGCAGCTCAATACGTCCAGTATTAAAAAATGGCCACGTTGAGGATTTTTGCCCGAGTACCGCCGAAAGGTACTTTTTCGCTACATTGGCACTATTTCAACGGCTGTATATCCTTTTAAGGGCGATTATGTACTAAAGTAAGAGCAGATTTGGAATCACTGCTTTTCTCTTTCTAAGAAAAGTGATTGATTAGCGTTTCTCAACTTTAAAGGTTACATGTTTATAAATTTAACCCTGAAGAGTCCGTTAACGCAATGTTGAATGGTGCACACCTCCCCGTATTGCGCACGGACAAAATATCCCTTGGAAAGGCGTGCAAATTTCAGATTCTTTAACTTGTGTGGTGATAAAACACTGAAGTAACTAAGAATTACCGGACGCCTCAGAATCACGAAAATTTTGTGTGGGTGAAATATCATTTCATTGGAAATCCTCTGGCCTGGCATCGACTCGATCCTTGATGTTTGTCCTCCGACGGTGATGATCCTACTGCATCAATCCGGCCCGATCTCTTCCCCCAGCGGGCCAATACGACCCCCCCCCCCTGCGACGTGTCGAGGATTCCTCAACGCACGCTTGACCCTGGTTGCCATTAACTGAAACTCTCATTTACCAATAGCACTATGAATCACTAGTTACAGAATTTATTGGAGACTGCCGTCACTTGTGGTCTGTGTTCTGCACTAGACGCTCTTCTGGTTTTCTGAAGCAGAGGGCAAATGAAAGAAATTCTAGAGAGGTGAAAAAGATCAGCACTCACAAGGGGAACGCAAGAACGTCACCTGACTGGGACTCAAATCCATTTTAGAAACGCATTCGATGAGCTCGTTGAAGTGGACGATATTTTCGACGTTCAACCGATCGTACCCACCTGCCACGACTAGATGGCAGCATGCGAATTCTTCTTCAGAGACCATCGATCGAAGAGCAGCTAGAAAACGCGTTAATGTTAAAAATCAAGACCACATGGAGGCCATCAATATGTTCGCTCGTAATACATGAACGCAGAGAAGGCCTTTAGTTCATGTAGATTAGGTTCACACTACGTGTACCCTCCTCTTCAAAAAGCGAGAAAAGCACTCCATGGTGTCACCCTTCTGTTTGAAAATGGGGACTTTGGTACTCGTTCTTCAGGCAATCGACGTTCTTCCTTCCGCAGTCACTGTATTCGGGGAGCGGGTGAGCCACCTTGTGCCGTACTTTCGAAGCACCTTCGTATGCTCATAGACAGCACTGTCCAGCCTCCCTTTTTCGTGTCTATCCTCACAGCCATGATCCGATCGCTGATCCTGTTCACAGCGGAGACATAGTCCTTGAGCGACTCCGCTACCGCTATGGCCGTTCCGCTTGGTGTCTTCTCCATTGTAGTAGAGTTGACACCTTCCCCGATTTCCTCTGGCCTTAGCACCTTTCCATCGCGTCTCCTGAAGGCATAGGACTTGGATTTCCTGCGCGTCATCAGATCAGCAACCTCTCGGGACTTCCCAGTTAGCGACCCTACGGGGTCCCAATTCGAACTAGCTTCTTTCGGCCAAAGCCGCTCACTTCTCGATAGCCCTGCGCGCCACTTCCGAGTGACGCCCTAGTTTTGTCACTGATTCCTTTTCCGACTTCAGACATATTTGTTGTGACGGGGGTCTTCATCAGCCGGCCTGTCAACCTGGGCCTGACGCTGGTACTAGAACCATTTTTGCAATTTTTGCAGGCATGGTTGAGACTCCGCAGAGATCTGCTCCTCAGCTTGAGGTGCAGACATGAACCTACACTCTTTACCAGTCATCTATCCCTTCCCTTTTAAGATATTATGCTTTCGAATTTCTTCTGCTTTGTTACTTCCCCATCACCGAGTTGTAGTTCTTTACTGAACGCCACCCATCAAGGAATGTTTCGTCCACCATGGGTAGGTTTCCATAATGCAACCTGGCAACCTGGAGTAGTACACCTTTAACCATTTACGCGGTCTCTGAGCTGTTCTGCGATCCAAATTCAGGTTTTCGCCATTGTTACCCCACTCTCTCCGATGATTTCCGTCCACCGTGGGAGGAATTCCACTTGACTCATGTGCGCCTCCTTCAGCCGCCCCGCACCACCTATTCTAAACTTGATCCGGCCTCACAGGTGGCTGTTCATGTAATTCTAAATTTTATGACACACATAGGCTTGCCGCTTCATGTATATAGTGGGGATAGTTTTGCTTGAAATGACTGCATAATTGGAGAGACTGTCACTTCACAACCCTGCGCAAAAGGGTAAATCAGTGGACGTTTTCCTGTACACACGAATACGTCACATGTGCTTACCAAATGCTTCGATTGCGAGTTTCACGTTCTTTTTAACTTCGAATCGATTAAGAGAAGTGAAGACGTGTTCAGCCGTGGGCGGAATTTCAGGAATATCACAGTAGCAGCTGCCATCGAAGAATTCTGTGTTGAGTGTGGGATAAAGCACTGTAAAAGATGATTTTAAGCAACACACAGGTGATTACGTACAGTGCCAACGTGGTCCTGGGAACACTATTTACTTCCACCTACATTTTGATTACCCCTACAATTGAAAACTTATCAAAAAAGCAAAGAGAATTGACATAAATAGGGAGCTGACCAAAATTTGGAAAGCAGCTTCAACAAGCTTGAATTACCTGTGAGTTCACGATTCTGGAGAGACCTGAACGTCTTTTTAACCACTGATGCAGTGAATAAGCTGTTGACGCAGATTACATCCGCAAGTCCAATTGAAAACTCTTCGATGGCGTCAAGAAAATACCTCAAATGAGGTTATCCATCATCAAAAAATAGCGTTGAAAAGGGGAAAAATACAATGTTAGCTCCCATGTTCACAAAACTCGACAATAAAACCACTGAAAGCTCAATTTTGCCTGAAGCTCTTCGAGAGGCTCTATTCCACTTCAATAGTCGCAATAACGAAGACGTCGCTTGACGAGTAAATTTCAATTACAAAACAATTCCGAATCAGTTGCTTTTCTGTTCCGACCTTCCACATTCATTCATTTCAATTTCGACTGCATAGCATACTACGCTCGACCGAACAACAATGCTTTAACACAATTCATACCTGTATAGGGCTTTCAAGAAAGATTCCCTTGTTGTAAGCAACATGTCTGGGAAATGACAATAAAATATAAGTCGAGAACGGGATAGACAACGCAGTACTATTAAAGCCGCTGAGACCTTCAAAGGCAGAATTCGTAAAAGACTGATTGTTCTAGAAGCGATTACCTGATCACAAATGATGACGTCACTATCAATGCAGAAAGAAACGTAGATTGCAGCAAGGCACATCCTAATATAAGCGCACAGGGCCCACATAAAACCGAAAATCGTGCGAGGAAACCACCGAATTACCATTATATCTGAAAATTCGCTTTTTTTTCACCGCACATATTCAATGAACTCATGAATTCATGAGCAGGTCATCTATAACTGCAAATGAGACCATTCCTGAGGGGAACATTACCAACAACTGCCACGACTTGAGATTTGATATTTAGCTCCGACCCCTGGATTGAAATTTGTGAAGCTTCCAACAACAGAAAATCATTAAGTTTTCGAAACAAGTTGAGGCAAATTTTAAGCTCTCTTAAGATAAACTTCAAGTTCTAACTCGCGTCACACTGCCGACTGATTCAGTTTGCAGCAATTGCCTCACCAAGGATGGCATTTAAGTTCCCATGCAAATGCCTCACCAAGAAAGGCATTCAAGTTCCCATGGACTTTGAGTTGCGAAGTCAAAGTTGGCGGAAAGTGAAGCGTTACGTTCAACCATGCTAGCCTCCAGGCGTCTAATATCGCCGTGGGATAGTGGATAGTGCTCTCGAAATTTGCACTCCAACGGGAAATGAACTATGCCCTCCCGGTGAAGAACGAGGGCACTGCCACCTCTCCTGGTGACTCTGAAAGCCTGGAGCAGCACGTTCATGCTTTACTTCAGCCAACTTTGACTGCTCACAACTTCCTTGGCAGGTTCATTTTGCAGTTTTAGTTTCCATATTTGTAATCAGCGTTTGAAGCTCTATCGATATATCTGGGTCTCAATTCAAAGTTCCATGGGAAGTGAATGCCTTCCATGGTGTGCCGATCCGGTCGATCATCTTTCCGAGTGTTTTGATTACTGAGAACTTGTTCTGTTACACTGTTGAACTTTATAGCAATTTGAGGTTTTACAGATTTTCTATCGCTACCGAACACCCTTGTGCCCTGCCTCAGCGTTTGTGGATGCCCTAGCGCGTATGCTAAACGCACGAATAAATGAGTACTTGGTATTGCACTATTACAACCCCAGAGGAGGCCGAGATGGGTCAAAAAATAATTTTCGCTGAAACTTCTGCTATGGGGTTATCGAGGGTCCTGATCACGAATATGACATCCATTTTTGGCGCTGGCGCCATTTGGCGCCACAACTGATTATCACCAAATTCGCTGTAAACTTCTGTATAGGGGTTATTTGGGGCCCTGATCACGAATATGACACTCGTTTTTGACATTCGTGCTGTTTAACGCATATTTTCTGCTTTTCTAAGCTTTCTCACCTATAGCGCCTAAGACTAAGCTTAGGGGAGGGGAGTGAAACTCCGGAGTGGGTAAACCACGCACCGTGTGGCAAAAGTTGGAGTGTGTCAGACCACAGGGGAATGGCCTACTCACTTTGGAGCCCTCCACTATTCAAAGGCTTAGTCCTGATTGCGATCTAATTAGTGCGAGGGCGCAGACGAGCAGGAGATAGGCGCCGAATAGTGTGTCGGTTTATATGCATGTGTGTCTGTATGTATGTATGTTTGTATGTGAGCAAATCCGTCTGTCCGTCCGCAAAATGAAGTGATAAGGAAGCTCATGGGATAAACAAACCGCTAACAAATCGGGTAGCTTACAGGATTTGAGATATCAATGTTTTGTAGCAGGATAGTTGTGATAACACTCTTAGGGCTATATAAACACCTGCTTAGCACACTTCCGTTCATTCCACATGGTGCTGCAGTGGCAGCTGGAGGGCAGTGGAAGAAAGGATGGGGAAGGGAGGCGGAAAACTTCTCTTTTGTTGCATACGCGTCACCTCCACGAGGTGTTGGTGTCACAGGAGGAAGGGACCATAGCGGAGGATAGAAAGCTTGCGCAGGAAAGGAAGGTCCCGGCGGTTGACGGGGGACTAATCTGGTAGGTGAAAAAAACACCACGAAAATCTTCCTAGTAGACTCCAAACTACCTAGATCTTGTGTTTCCTTGAACGCATGATTCGGATCGAACTGGCTCGTCACAATCTTAACTTGATGGCCTTTGTTGTGCAGTGCCACGGCCGCATCCACAACGAGTCGCTCAGCACCACCAATGCCCAAGTCAGGATGTAGAAATGTCACACGCATAGGGAAAACCTATGAAAATCATCTGAGCATAGTTCATGGATGGGAACGATTTGTATCATTTCAAGTAATGTTTTAATGCATCATCAGAGAGAAAGAAGTACTCATGTGCTATTTACGGTATCATTCTAGCACGCAAACCACCGGAAAATGTTTACTGAAAAGAGCAGAATCACAGAATAGCTATAAGAACCGGTTGCAGAGAATAGGAATGCTGAAAATTCATATCTCATGAACTGTAAGCAATATAATGTTGTCATGGTTTAGCTTGGAGGATGTGACCCGACAATGTCAACAACCATTCAAACCCATTTGAGCACAATAATCACGGCACTGTAACACCCAAGGACATAGAACCATTTCCTGAAGTGAAGCTGTTGACAATCTGCAAACATTAAACGGACATAGAACATCTACGCAAAGAATTGAAGCAAACAACCCCGTTATACTAAAAGCCATCTAGCACTAGAATCTTCTGAAGCAGCTGCTTCGGTCAGCACATGAGAAGTATTAGAGAGCCTTCAAACAGTTATCGAGAAGGCTGCTCGCACCAATACGGAATAGGTTCGGAGTGAGCCACTCGTCTCCAAGAATCTGCAATTCAAGGCACATATCGAATGAAGCAATATCAAATTAGTAAGGAGAACTAATCAGAAAGGCCTGCCGCAGTAGAATTGAAAATTATATCAATGGTACGGTATAAAAAGAAATAGTAACAAGGATGTGTAGCACAACGCTGCCGTGACGTGAAACTTCTTACCATTCGAAAAACCGTAGTTTGGGACATAAGCCCATCACCACTAGTTACACTTTCAACACTGTTCAAGCACAGTTCTTGCCGTCCTCTAGAGATATCCCATTTATCCACTTACGGTACTTCCCTGTCAAGGCTCTTTAACACGTTGACGACATCGCATGTTTTGGCATTTTGCACCTCGTGGGACAGGAGCGATTTTGCGACCGCGCCGTCCTCACCTTACTTCCGCTTATTTTTTGTTAAAAATGCACAATAACTTGAATTTCATAGGACTATTTCGGCAAGGATGAAAGCATAAAGGTTAACTATATAAGTAGCAGTAGGTTTTGTTTAGAAGAGCGCATAATGACCACGAAGAAGTAAAAAACATCACTTTCGCTGCGAATGAAATTAAAAGCATTTATATCTAAGTACTCCATCAAATCAAATATATTGAAACTCACAGAGTTTTGTTTCAACTAACTCTAAAATCTTTCATAAGAATATTGACGGCAGTGAAAGTATTATTAAGAAAGAATCGGAACGAAAGTTTTGTGCGTTCGGAAAATCTTTGCTTAATCAAAAGATACTTGACCACTCTAGCTGCCAAGCGGTTTATAGTCATGCTAATGTATTATCTATAGAATGAATACAAGAAACCCGAGAGGAAGGAGCGCAAGCACGATAAAAGTGAGTAGCATAGACTTGACGCGCTTGCGCGTCAGAATGTCCGATGCGGTGCGAAATTCTTGACGCGCATGCGCGTCAGCTTGTCGTCAACGTGTTAAGCCCTTATTTCGTTTCTAGTTTAAAGGACGAATTCACGCGGGGAAGGCAACCCATTTCAAATGAACTTAGCGATATGAGTGGCACACTAAAGAAGGAAAAAACATGAGAAACGGCCTCAGAACCCGAAATGAGGCGAAGCAACATGGAGACCGTGAAAAATGGAACGGAAAAAACGGAAGACGGGGCTTGTGAAGAAAGGTGTGAGTTGCGCGTCGGACGAGTTTCTACCGCCCTCGTCGCGCACAAGCCGCAAAAGAGGCGCGATGTCAACAATTGCCCACCTGTCTACTGCCTCCTGAGATCGTAATAATGAGCGCGCCTTTGAGTAGCTGGGATTTCACTACGAGTCAACTCATTATATAGCAGTGAATTAAGCACTATTTGAGAGAAAGATGTCTCAAACTGTAACACAGAAAATGAGACGACGCACATCCTTGATAAGAGCGACATATGAAAGAGCCTCCGATGGTGTTTTGATCCCTCCCGCTGGTTTGAAGCCAACCTGCAAAATAAAATCGTATGGCAAAAAAAAGCTAGAAGGTGCGACGTTAAGACACAACCTTTTTGCCTGTAAGTTCGTGCCATCTCTTGATAGCTGAACACATAACAAATGCGACTTCCAAAGTTGCGTTTGTGGTTTCTTTCCCGGTTGAAGTTTTGATGAAGTCAGAGCCTGAAATGAATTAAGATTTCGTCCCGCCAATCAAACGCTAAGATTCGTACCTGCTAAAATACTAGCCCAACTCGCTTTGTAAACATTTGCCAACGTTTTCAGTTCACCAGTGGCTAAAATTGTCTTGAGATGGGCGTTGCCACATGCTGTTTTGAGTGCCGATACCTCATCATAGACAGCTGAAAAAAACCTAATGCGAATACAGAGCATAAAAAGAGGGAAAACGAATTTCTGGCAAAAAAAAATGAACAAAGTAATTTGTCTGGAAAAGGAAACATACTTTTCCAATCGCCCTCGAGAGCTGCGGCACGACTTATGACAATATCTATCTCTGTAGCACCGTCAGCTACTGTCAACTCCACTTCTAACAGCTTCGACTTCAAATGGTATTGCCCTGATGGGAAACCTGCGGCAACTGAAAGAACTGCTGTCTTCACTGATTCGCATTCGATGCATCACAATCCAATACGAACCCGCTGCAACATTGAACTTCCTCTTTGTACCGTTCAGATGTTGCACCACATCGTGCACTCGTTGCGGATAAACACATACCGCAGCACAAGTAGTCGAAGAGTCCTGAAGAGATAATTCTCTTAAAATACTGTTCTTCTTTGTCTTTTCATAATGCTCGTTTCATTTTACCTCTCTACTTCCGAGTCTGCTTTTCTTCAACTCCCACTTCTCCCACGTATTATACCGTTTGTTCTACTAACTAATTAATAAGAAGAGAAATTTTGGAGCAATACCTCTTGACGACTACTACAGTCCTAATTTCGCAAGGATAGGATACTTTGGAATGGACGAACCACTCCCTTGTGCGAAAAAGAACTAGATGAGCATGAACAATTCAAAAC